TTTGAATATACCGTGGACTTCCAGGAGAACAAACAGGAGAGGGTGAGACCAGGGTGCTCCTTGGAGGCAAGGATTCTGAGGCTTCGTCTGACACACTTTGTGCATGTTGCAAGGAGGGACCAGTCCTTGGAGAGGGATATCATGCTTGGAATGATAGAGGGACAGAGAAAGAGAAGACCATCAATGAAATGGATTGATGCAGTGACTGGGGTAATGAGGTTAGGTGTATTAGAGACAGTAAACTTGGCACAGGATAAAGCAGGTTACAGGGCTGTTGTACATAGGGTCTCAAGCGACTTGACGGCGCATAACAACAACAACACCACCTCAGCAAGAATCCGCACAGCTACCCTGGGTAACTTTGCCAAGGCCACCTTTGATGCCATCTCCAAGACCTACAGCTACTTGACCCTGGACTTCTGGAAAGAGACCATATCCACCAAGTGTTCCTAGCAGGAATTCACCGACTATCTTGTAAAGACCCACATCATGATCTCCATGCAGAGGACCCAGGTTCCAGCTGTGGCCACCACATAGTGGGTTTTGTAAAACAGAAATAAAGTTAATTAAGTCAGTTCCAAAAACTCCAAAAAAATAAAGAGAAAGGAGATGGCGTGCCATCAGCAAGGAAGCAGTTTAAAAAGTGCTGTAGAAGAGGATTGTGTTGCTGTTGTTGTTGTTATGTGCCATCGAATCACATGTGACACTAGCTCTGAACCCTGCACTATCCTGAATCAATATCATCATCTCCAACGGACCTAATCCCATTTCTCCAGTCACTGAGTCAAACCATCTCATCCTGGGTCTTTGTCTCCTGTGCTGTCCCTCCACCCTTCCAAGGATGATGTCTTTCTCTAAGGAGTGGTCTCTCCTGGCCATATGCCTAAAGTAAGTGAGACACAGCTTCAAAATCTTTGCCTCCAGGGTGTAGCCTGGTTTCACCCTTTCTAGGATGAACCTGTTTGTTCTCCTGGCAGTCCACGGTATGTTCAACAATCTTCTCTTGCACCACAATTCGAAGGCATCAATCCTTCTTCTATTATCCTTAGTTATTGTTCAGGTCTTGGACGCATAGCAAATAACTGCAAACACCATGGTCTGCATCAGGAGCACCTTAATCTCCAGACTGACATTGTTGCTCTTCGGTATTCTAGAGAGGTCTTTGACAGCACTTTCCCAATGCAATTCATCTTTTGATTTCCTGTCTACTGGTGCTGAGAGTGTTGACTGTTGAACCAGCAAGCTGAAGTTATTAACAATTTCAATCTTTTTTCCATCTATCATGAAGCTGACAATTGGCCTATTGGTAAGAATCTTTGTTTTCTTGATGTTGAGCTTTAATCCATATTGAAGACTACAGTCCTTGACCTTCTGCAGCAAATGCCTCACGTCCTCCTCAGTTTTAGCAAGCAGGGTTGTGTTATCTGCATAACCCCGGTTGTTAATGAATCTTCCTCCAATCCTGGTGCCACATTCCTCCTCAAAAAGTCTAGTTTCCTGAATGTTCTGCACGTAGATTGAAAAGATATGGCATAGCATTCCCTGACGCACACCTTTCCTATCCTGAAACATACAGTGTTTCCCTGTTTTGACTACTGGTTCCTGGTCCGAGTATAGGTTTTATATGAGCATAATTAAGTGTTCTTGGATCTCATTCTCTTCAAGGTTGGCCACAATTTGTTGTGATCCTCACAGTAAAAAAATGCCTTTGCATAGTCAATGAAAACACAGACATTTCTTTGGTATTTTCTGCTTTCAGCCAAGATCCATCAAAGTTGGCTATGATGTCCCTAGTGCCACAGCCTCTTATACACCCAGTCTGCACATCTGACAGTTCTCTGATGATGTACTGTTCCAGTCATTGCTGGATAATCTTCAACAGGAACTTGCTTGCAAGTGATATTAGTGATATCGAAGAATAGGATTGGAAAAAATGAGCTGTTACTTAGGGTCCTGGGAAATGTTTCATGCTGACAGTATGGTATCAGGTTGGAGAATGTGGGGAAGCATGTTCCATGTGGAAGGAAGGAGTTTCGTGGATGATAGTGACACAGCGTGGAAGCTGTAGCACAGAATATACAAGGTGCAGGAGGAAGGGCAACAGGCCTGCCAAGAGGTCACACAGGACAGCTTGTCTGTAGCAAAGGAAGAACAGATCAGGATTGAACTCCAGGGAGGTTAAAGGTAAGTGTTACATATTATCCAAAATGAAAGAGTTTTCCAAGGCTGTATAGAGAATCCCCCTGGGGGATCCAGAGTATGAAGGACGAGGTTGGCAGCAAACTAGGTGAAGAGGGTTCTCTTGTGCCCTGGGTCTGTGCAGCCCTGACCAGCCAGAGGCTCCTAGGCCCCATCAGACCCATGTGAGAGGCCACAAGCTGACACACAAACACCCTTTGTTTGGGCTTGAGCCAGGCTGCTGGTGGTGGGAAGTATGTGGTTTCTCTGACCATAAGGAAGTATCCCTAGAGATTGTTTTCAGGGTCACCAGTGAGGTTTCTGAGAATCGATATGAATGGTAGGGAACAGAGGCAGGGTTTAAATATCTTTTTCTTTCTCACACACACATACATTTCTGTCCATATACTTTACCCCTGAAAAGTGAGAGAGAAAGTACCCGATTAGGTGCACAAGCTACACAATATTTCCTACCACCTACACACTTCTGGGGGGTGCTGGCTGCCAAAAGCATTGTGGGATTTTAAACTGAGGGCTGAGAGTGGAAAGGGGTATTATCTCTAGTATTAGCAGGGAAGGCCCCAAGGCTAGGAAGTGATTACGACCAGAATCACCCCTGACACTTATCCTAATTTTTGGCTCACATTTTAATTCTCTGATGGGATTTTGACATCTTGGTTTGTAGTCAGTTTCCTCCTCTGGAATTCCAGTGCTGTTTTCCCCTCAGGGAGTACTGGTGGCCTCGTGGGAAGAAGCTGCACTGCCAACCCAAACGCATGCAGTTTGAATCATCCAGCTGCTTTGTGGGAGGAAGAAGATGGGCCGTCTCCTCCTGTGTCATTATATTGCCCCTCAAAGCTTGCTGGAGTTTCTTCCAACACGCTGGCACACAACAACAGCAACAACTTCCTTTTCCCCAAGACTACATTTTATTTGGGAACTTAGGAGCCCCGTTGGCCCCCTAGGAGATCCAGCTGTCCCTCCCTACAGAGCCCCCACTGCCCTTGGACCCTTGTCCCAGCCTGATGCTGCTTGGTTATCTCTCACTTTTATCCAGTCACTGTTTGCTCACTGCATTTTCCTGGTTGACATTCAATGTAAGCCTTTATCTTTCCCTCCGGGAACCTGCCCTGGTGGTGGGGTGGGGTGTGTGTGTACCAGAGTCCTAGGGAAAGAAAACCCCACCCACTCAGGACACTCAGCGATCCAGGTGTCAGTGATAAGACAGGAGGAGTCTTGGGGACTGGCAGCTGCAGGGGTGTGATCCTAGAAAACACCCCAGGCTCTGCAGCTGTTACCTCTACGGGAGACACCCCAGCAAACAAGGTATTCTTGAAACTGGGAGGAGGAAGCAGGGTGATGTGAGGTCAGCCCCTCCGACTCCATCAGTTAATCCCACCTGCCCTTTTGCTCCTCTGTGAGATCTGGAGCCCATCTCCTGACCTAGGAGCACAGAGTGACTCCCTCCCCACAAATCTCATCAGTCAGTGCCTTCTGAGGACAAAAATAAAGAGAACACCTCTCCAGGAAGTAGAAGACTGGTATCCACATGGAACCAGGAATCAGGAGACTCCACCCTTCGCACACAGCTAGCTCCCATCCTGCTCACTGCCAGGGGGACTAATCTCCATGAACACAGCTCTTGAGAGTTTACGGAATGGGACAGAAGCCCAGTGAGGCTAGCTCTGCTTGATCCACGTCTCACTGACGACGGTGGGACGGTTGTTGGTAGGAACAATAGATCTTAATCTTGTCCTATCCTGTGCCATCCTCATCATCTCTGACATACTGGAGCCCATTGCTGCAGATCATCTCTTGAGGGTCTTCTTCTTTTTGGTGGGATTAGGGGTCAAGATAAGAAGTTCCCAACCTCAGACACCTGGTCCTCAGTGAAGCTTGGTAACAGGATGTGGCTGGGACCAGGGGTCACCCCTTGGCGACTGGGGAGCTGCCAGCATCTGGCTGTGAGTCCTTGCTCTGGGGGAGCCAAGGGAAAGAAACTGACCAGCAGACCAGTAAAGAAGACTAAATGCTACCTCCTGTCACTCCCCTTCCAGAAACTCAGGTCCCCAAAACTCTGCTCCCCAGCTGTCTCCCTCAGAGTTGCCACCTTTCTGGGTCTAAAGTTTCTAGCCACTCACAGCCACCAGCTGTTCTCAGACCCCTCCCAAGACCCAGACGTTCAGGCGTCCAGATGAGCTCCCCACCCTTCCCAGGCCCCCAGGGTTCTCCACGCCTTAGGTCCCAGGGAGCAGTAACTTCCCTGGGAAGCTGGCACTATCTGCTTGTCAGGTGACCCAAGGTGTGGCCTGAAAAGACAAGAAACTGTACTATAAAGGCCAGTCCACAGGCTGGCCTCACAGCTCTGGGGACCTACAGGTGAGAGATGCTGTCTCCTTCAGAAGGAGGATAAGCAGGCTCCTACTCTTAACTTTGGTTCCAAGTCTTTTCACCCCTAGGACCCCTTGCCTCACCTTGTCCCTGCCTCCCCACCCCAAACCCTTTGGCAGCCAGCTTCCCATCTGACCCCTGTATTCTGCGCTCCCTATCCCAACCCCAAACCACCTTGGCAGTCAACTCCTTATATACTCCCAATTACCACTTCAGGTGAGCTGAGATGGCAGAGAGGCCCCTATGATTCTGCAGAGAAATATGGTGGCACCAGTCTTGGATCCAGTCTTGATCACACCATATGCCCAACTCCTCTCCCATCTCAATCATCCTGCTGCCCAAGGGGGCCCTGTCTTGAGACTGGACTTCTGTTCTCTTAGGGGTACTGACTCCAGGAGAATGAGACACCTTTTTCTTTCTCTCCTGCAGACATGGGTTCCCTGTGGAGCTGGTGGATGCTCTGGGCCGGAGCAACCCTCATGTGGGGTAAGTCAGACCTAGACTCTCATCTATGCTCTTGCCCCAGTCTAGTGAACTCCATTTTCCTGGGTCAGCAATTATTCTCTTCCTCAAACCCATCTCCCCTGTATCTAGGTGAACTGAGATGTGAGAGAGATTCCTTTGATTCTGCAGAGAAATATGATGGAATCCCCCCATTCTCTACTCTACTCTTGAGAAAAAAAAACCCCAAAGTCAAGTGTATAACAACTCCCACCATCTTCTACCTCTGAGTCTTTTTTTCTGCTGGGGTGATGGAAAATGTCATCCAAACCATTCTTGGAGGGCTTTGCTCTAATTCTTCCAGGGTTGTGTGCATGCATACAGTCTCAGGTAACCAAAACAATTAAGTCAACCCTGAGTCATGGCAACCTCATGTGTATCAAAGTAGAACTGGGTTGCATTGCGTTTCCAGTGGCTGAAATTTCTGAGGTAGATTACAAAGCCTTTCTTTGAAGACACGCGATGGATGCAAACCTCCAACCTTTTGGTCAGTAGTTGAGTACTTAGCCGTTTTTACTATCCAGGGACAGAAGAGACACCAGGAGCCTCTAGATTCTAGTCAGCATCCATCTAGGTTTTTTGCTGACTTACTATCTTGTTTGTTTATTTTTATATCTAGGTTATTTTGAGATGTCCATTGTCCTTGAACCCTGGGTCCCTGTAGGACAGTAGAATATCTTTCAAGGCTCCCCTTATCAGCTGGTTTTTTTATAACCCCTGCATCTTCTCCATGGCTCTTTAGGCATTTCCCTCTTTACTCTTCTCTACTGTAAGAAATCTCTTCCCAGTTGGAGATGTTGAGGTGCCACCCATTTCCCCTTACTTTCTAGAGTACATCCTAGAATCTTCTTCTTCCCTTTGGCTTCTTTCACACATGTCCCCAAGTCAGTTTGGGCCCTATTGTTGGGGGGGGGGGTGGAAATACTCAGGAAAATCCAGACCAAAAACTCACAAAACAATAGGCTAAAGTTAGTAACAGTAGCTTTGATTAGGAGTAGAAAATTCTAGTCCATTATGCAGCGCCTACATTTGGAAGATCAGCCATTGAAAAACACTATGGAGCATAGTTCTACATTGACATGAAAGGGGTTGCCAGGAGCTGGGAGCTGATTCAATGGGCCACTGGAGAAAGTTAGTATCCACTTAAATTAGAATCTGATTGCATCATTCCCACCCAGACTATTTCACACTTGTTTGACCCCTTTTCAGTTTTTAGTTTTAGATCTTGGTCTAAGTGCTTTCACTTAGGAAAAACAAAAGTCAGAAAGGTTTGTAAGGAAATTCTGCACGGATAAGGAGAAAGGAACACAAAGGGGGACAGGAAAGCCAAAGTTACTATTTGAATATATTACAGAGGCAAGAGGGAACTCTGTGGAGTAATCCGCAGGGAATTGCACAGCTAACACCAAGACTACGCCTCTCTGGTGGTTTGCTCTGTGGTAGAAGGTTGGGCAATTTCTCTTGCCATTTGCTTTTGTGCAGTGTTGCTTTGGAACCATTCACAGCTGCAGCAGGTTTTCACAGGCAGTAAATCCCAGGGGAAGAGATTGACCATCAATCTCCTGTGGAGCATCTGATGGAGTCGAACTGTGTGCCTTTGCACAGCTCCTTATCCTTAAGTCACCAGCGCTCCCTCCTTTGCCAATTACAGTTACAAAAATATAATGGAGAGCTAGTTAGCAATCCCTTCTATTCCAAGGTGGTGAGAGAGAGAGAGTGAGTGAGTGAGTGAGTGAGTGAGTGAGTGAGTGAGTGAGTGAATGAACCAGTCAAGGTTTGGCTCTTTGATGGGGATGCCTGGATAAACAGATTCTCAGTTGCCTATTCTCACCCAAGGCTTGACCCAGGAGGCCTCCATGGGCTCCAAGACCACCGGCGGGGAGGAATTCCTCGGGGCCTTCCTACAGAACTACCAGCCAGGCTACAGTGCTGCCTACCTGCACCTCCTCATCTCCAGCCTGTCTGAGAGCCCCGCCTCGGTCTCTGTCCTCAGCCGGGTAGACGAAGCCTCGCAAAAGGTCACCGTCAAGCCAGGGGAGTCGGTCATTGTCAACATCAGCTCCAAGGCTGAGATGGTTGGCAGCAACATCTTCCAGCATGTGGTGGTGGTCCACTCGGACCACAGGATCACGGTACAAGCCATCAACGCCAAGCCCAACACCGCAGAAGTGACAGTGCTGCGGCCCGTCAACACCCTGGGCACGGAATACTTCGTGCTCACGCCCCCTGGCTCCTCAGCCAAGAATCTCAAGGAGTTTGCTGTGGTGGCTGGTGCTGCAGGAGCTGCTGTTAGTATCCAACTCAAAGGAGCAGCCATGTTCCAAAATAAGTTCTATGCATCGGGAAGTGTCATGCACGTGACTCTAGAGTCCTATGCAGTGGCCCAGATACAGGGCGAGGCCGATTTCTCTGGGTCCAAAATCACCGCCAATAACCCCGTGGCTGTCTTCTCTGGCCACAGCTGTGCCCAGAAACACACAAGCTGCAATCATGTGATAGAGCAGCTGCTCCCCACATCCTCCTGGGGTACCAAATATGTAATACCCTCTCTGACCTCTCAGACCCGCTATGACTTGGCCTATGTTGTGGCCAGCCAGGCCACAAAGCTGACCTACAACCATGGCGGCACCACGGGTACCCGTGGGCTCCAGTCTGGTGATGTGGCAGAATTTGAGATCCGGCCATCCCGTCCACTCTACCTGACTGCAGACGTGGGCATCCAGGTCCTGCTGTTTGGCACAGGGGCCACAAGGGACGGAGTGACCTATGATCCTTATTTGGTCCTTGTCCCAGATGTGGCAGCCTACTGTCCTGCCTATGTGGTCAACAGTGTGCCGGGCCTTCAGAATCTGGTCTTAGTTGTGGCACCAACAAAGGCCACAGAGCGGCTGACTATGGACAAGTCCCCACTGGCCACCAAGGTCAGATGGGACCCAGTGCCAGGCAGTGAGTTCTCGTATGCTGAAGTGGACCTCGGAACTGCTGGCAGGACCCATCTGGCCGAAGCCACCATTAATTTTGGCTTGCTCACCTTTGGGCTGGCTGATGCTGTGGGCTTTGGGACGGCAGCTGCCTGTGGCCGGAGTGAGTACTGGGAAAGGACCCCTCAGCTTTTCTTCTTTCCCATCCTTCTGCTTCTCTGGGATTTTCTGGCTCAGCTGGGTTCTCTACACTCCTTACCCTTCTTCCTTAAGGCTTCCTGGCCCATCCTCCTCAGTGCACCCCATGGTAACAGCTTCTCAGCAGAGAGGTCAATCAGAGCACCTCAGAAGGGTTCCCAAAGTCCTCATGGTGTCCAGCTTCAGCCTTCAGCTGTTGAGAGGCTTGGAGAAAGGTCCTGGGGGAGAGTCAGGGTTCCCAGGGGTGGTCTTTGGGGGTTCAGGTTAGCAGCTTTTTCCAACTAGTTTGAAAAAATATATTTTAGCAGCAGCTACAGTTATAGAAAAATGGAGCAAAGAGCTGGTTTTCCCCCTTGCCCCATATCTAATAAAACCATTTATGCCAATTTCAGGTGATTTAAAAGTATCATAATAATGATGGCTAGGATGCTGGAGATGATGGAGCCCCGGCAGCATAGTGTTCGTGTGCTAACTGAAAGGATGGCAGTTTGTCTCTACTAGATTGGTGAATAGTCTCCTCCCATAAGATTTATGGCCTGGGAAATGCCAGACCTTGGAAACGCAGAATCCTCTCAATGGTAGTTTGGGTTTACTATGTTGGGAGTAAGTGTGTCTCTCAATGTACCAGGCTATTCCAAGGGATCTCATGTGTCTTAATATCATCAATGCACAGGACCTTGGACCGCTCAGTGACCTGGTGGGAGGCTGCCGCTAAACAATACAGTGAAGTATTTGAGGGTGCAGGTAGTAGACCCAGAGTGCCCAGGTTCAAGTCTCAGCTCCTCTGCTTGTGTGATCTTGGCCAAGTGACTTCACCTCGCTGGGACTCAGTTTTCACAGCTGTAAAATGAGGACAGTAGTTGGATCTGGAGCTCTGGTGGCCTAGTGGAAAGGAGTTGTGCTGCCAATCCGAAGGCACACAGTTCAAATCCACCAGCTGTTCTGCAGGAGTAAGATGGACAATCTCCTCCCGTCAATTTTTCAGCCTCTGAAAACTGACTGGAGGGCCAGCTATGGATCAGTTTTGACTCAATGGCACATAACAACAATTACATCTACCTTTTTGTGCAATTGTGATGTGCCAACATTTGCAAAGCATGCAGTGGGATATCTGGGAAGTGACTCTGGCTGCATGCAGGTGAACTTTCACTAGAATGACTAGAGTTTTGAGGATTGGGAAATGCATAGAGGAAGGGAAGGTGCATGTAGGAATGGGATGTGTATGGAGGAAGGATGATTTTCTTCCTTTGAGGATACTTCCTCCAAAGAAAGACTCTAGACATCCCAGTATGTAGGTAAAAGTATGTCCCCCTCTAACTTCAAGGGACTGCTTTGAGCTTAACAGGAAAGACACATTAAGTAGGATGGCAAGAGAGTGGGTGTTTAAGGAAGCTCTGGTGACCAAGTGGCAAAAAGCTGCACTGCAATCCCAAAGGTGAGTGGTTCAAATCCATCAGACGTTTCTCTGGAGAAGGAGGGGCAATCTCCTCCTCTATCAGCCGGTACACAACAATGAGAGAGAGAGAGAGAGAGAGAGAGAGAGAGAGAGAGAGAGAGAGAGAGAGATTCACTACAATAGGCAAGCCTCAATTGTTCAATTCTAATATTTGTTCAGTTCTACCTATAGTTTTGTTCATTTAAACCTGACAGCATGCTGCCTCCACCCTACCCCTAAATATGTCTATTAAGAAGGTATTGTTAGCATCCTATGTTACAGGTGGGGAAAGTTAGTCACAGGCAGTTGAAAGAACTTGTCCAGGAAAGCATAGACAACTGGTGGAGCTAGGATTTGAGCCTAGGCAACTTGACTCCACCTTTGTTCTCACATTTAGAACAGCCTCTGTCTTCTATTTTCTGCCCTTAAAGAGAGAATAAAAATTTCCTGGGCATTTTTTACTCTGGTGGGGAGATGAGAAACAGAGGGAGAACAAACACAAATGAATAGTTTTGATGGTTTCAAGGTCTTCTGTAGGCAGTCATAGTAGGTTGAGTTTCCAGACTGCTAGTCTGGAAGGCTGGCAGCTCAAATTCACTAGCTACCCAAAGGGAGAAAGATGAGGTAGCCTCCTCCTGTAGAGATTTACAGTCTTGGAAGCCTGATGGAGGGTAGCTATGAGTTGGAATCCATTCCACGGTAGTGGGCTGTGGGTTGAAGGTTCTAATTTGTCCCTTCTCAATGCCTTTCTGGGTAGAGCTGGCCTGCAGTGAAGAAAACATTTAATCGGGGAATCAAAAAGCCAGGAGTCAGACCCTGCTCAGCTCTCTCTCCCTGTGAGACTCTACATCTCAGTTTCCCCACTTTTAAAATGGGCAGTTGTGAATAAGCAAAATCCAGAGAGCTGAAAGATTCAACAACAATAACAATAACACACAGGGAGCCTGACTCTATTTCCTTCTTTCCCTCCTCCCAGCGGTAATCTCCTTGGAGAAGCCCTCCTGCGAAGACCTGACCTGCAAGCCAGGGCTGCAGTGCCAGGTGGTGGATGGGAAGGCCATGTGCATGGCAGAGCCCACAGCCACTTGCCGTGCCCAAGGCGACCCCCATTACATCACCTTTGATGGCCGCCGCTACGACATGATGGGCACCTGCTTGTACACCATGGCCGAGCTGTGCGGCACTGACCCTAGCCTGCCAGCCTTCAGCGTGGAGGCCAAGAATGAGCACCGGGGCAGTCGCAAAGTCTCATATGTGGGCTTCGTCACTGTCCGTGCCTACAGCCACTCCGTGTCACTGGCCCGTGGGGAGGTGGGCTTCGCCCGGGTAAGTGTCCCGGGGCTGCAGGGCTGAACTCCCATGAGCTGTTGAAGAACTAGAACCCTGGTCACAGTCCCCAGCCACAGACCTCTGTTGGAGTGAACCATTAAGGGAAGCGGGGGGTGTTGGAGGGGGAAAGACGGGGTGTAGAGGGGTTTGAAACCCCATAGCACAACTTTCAAATCCTTTTCTCCAGCAATTTTATTTCTCAAAATTGTATGGGCAGAGATTTTACATATATATTATGAAAACCAAACCTACTACCATTGTCCCACTGTCGGCGTCCATTGGTTTTTCCAGGCTGTAAATCCTAATGGGAGCAGACTACTTCATCTTCTCTCTGTGGTGCAGTTGGTGGATTAAAACTGCAGACCTTTAGATTAGCAACCCAATGGTTAAGCTGCCAAGGAGCCAGGTATATATGGCTCCTTTTTATTTATCAGAGCAGAACTGTGCTCCAGAGGATTTTCAAAGGCTATAAACTTTCAGAAGTAGATTGCCAGGCCTTTCTTCCGAGGTACCTCTGCCTAATCACTTGAACTGAGCACTGCACATGCACACACATATACACACAGACCAACATGGTTTATAATGTTGTTTTTAAATGCCATCAAATTGGGACCAACTCATAGATGACTCTCCAGCGAGTTTTCAGAGGCAGTATATTGCATGGGAGGAGATTACCCACCTTTCTCTCAAGGAGTGACTGATGGATTTTAACTTTGTGCCTTTGGGCTGGCAGTGCAACTCCTTATTACTAGCCACCAGAGCTCCCTTGGTTTATAATAGCAACACTAACCTCAATCTAAACAATGAAGAAAACTCATTTACATCTTCCCATTTTAAAGATGGGAAATTGGAGTCATGGAATCTCACAGGGAGAGAGCTAGACAAGGTCTGACTCATGGTTTTATTCTTTGCAGCCCAGATCTGTCCAAATCACTGAATGTACTGACCCCATCCCCAGATATATTCTGGTACCATATATATTTCTTAGTACTTGCCAGATATTTGACGCTCATATCGAGTTTGCATGGTAGACACCATTAGGAAACTGAGGCTTAGGGAGGGAGACAAGTGACTTTTCAGCCTAGAGCTAGTAAGTCTGTACTGGAAACACAGACAGACTGACACTTAAATGTCTCAATGCACTATCCCGCACCTTGCTTCTCGCACATAGTAGTACTTTCTAGAGCTGTTTCCAGTATCAGTGCATAGAGAGCCCACTTATTCTTTTTGATAGCTGCACAGTTCTCCACTAGATGAATGTATCATAGTTTGTTTAACTAGCCCTGTCCGGTTGCCCCGATGGCACAATAGTTGAGTGTTCAGCTGATGAGGAGATCAGTGGTTCAAATCCACCAGCTGCTACTTGGGGAGGGTGTGACAGGCTGCTTCTATAGTTTCCTTCTCACTCACCAGAATGCTTGGCTTTTTGGTTTGCCATGCAGCTCACTTCCAACTACACCATCAGCGTTCCTATTATATAAAGGTCATAGGCTTGGAAATTCTATGAGTCAGTTAGTTAGTTCTACTCTGTCTTATAGGGTTGTTATGTGTCAGAATCACCTTAAGTACAAAAAGATTGGGTTTGTCTTATAGACGGATAAGGTCTCCGGGTGATGCAAATGGTTTGTTGTTGTCTACTAATAAGAAGGTTGGCAGTTCAAATCCATCCAGTGACAACAAAAAAGAAAGACCTGGCAATTGGAATTTCAGTTACTGGAAAAACTATGGATACAGTTCTGCTCTGGAGCACAGAGGGTCACCAGAAGATGAACTCACTTGATGGCAATGGGCTTAGGGTTTTTTATTGGTTTGGGTTTTTTTTTGTAAAATAGATTTAAAAAATTGTTTCATAATTTTCAAATACTGTGATTAGTGAAAGTTTATAGAAAGACTGAGTTTTCATTCATCCATTGGTACATATTTTTTCCTCTCTCCTCCAATTCACTTTGTTATACATCTTATTCCAGATTGTTAATCATCACACATACAATGTCTAATCATCCATTCCTTTCAGATAGTCCTTCTCTTCTCCTATTCCAGTGTAGTGTTCTTTATCCATTCTGCTCTCCCTCTCCCCCATGTCCATCCCATTTTTATAACAGTGGTCTTATGCAGTTTTGTGATTGAGTTATTTTACTCACCATAATGTCTTTCAGACTCACCCATGATATCGAATGTTTTACAAGTTCATTGCTTTTCAGTCTGTGTAATATTCCATTGTGTGAATATACCACAGTTTTTCTATCCATTCATTTGTTGACTGGCACTTGGGCTGCTTCCATCTCTTCACTTTTCTGAGTTTGGGTTTTTTGTATGAACACATTAAAGTCCTTCTAAAAGTCCCAATAAGCTCACTGCTGTGTAGTCTTTTCCAACTCATAGTTGACACTCCATTGCATTTCAGAGACTGTAAATCACAACAGGAGACTTCCCATCTTTCTTCTGCGGAGCTGCTGGTGGATTTGAACTGCCAGAGACACTCAGCGTTTGAAATAGCAGTGCAGCTTATCCTGCACAACATCACCAGAGCTCACTACTTTACTATAGGTCCTGGGATAGCATAAATAGCCTTCACTAAACTGCTAACTGAAAAACTGACAGCTCATGTCCCCTCAATACCTCAGAAGAAAGGGCTAGAGATTTGCTTCTGTCCTGTTTCAGCTGCCAAAAACTCTGGTGAACACAGTTCTGTTCTGAAGTGTGTGAGGTCACATTGCCATGAGCCAGCACCTGTTCCAGGTTTTTTGGGTTTGCTAATGACACATTGTTCACTGTAGTAAATAATATTGCAATGAGTATTCTTACATCACCCTCATTTTATGAATGTGCAGGTAGACCTGTGTGATGGATAGCTAGGTGGAGTAAAATAAGGACTCTATGTGGTATATTCAGTTTTCAATCAGCTGCTAACCTAAAGATTGATGGCTCGACCTGACCCAGAGACACTGCAGAAGAAAGGCCTGGCACACTGCCTCCAGAAAGAGTACAGCCAATTAAAAAAGAAACAACAAACCCTATGGCAATATTTCCCCTGGGAGAAAGTTCAGAAGGCAGGAAAGGATAGACTTGAAGGATGAAGGGAAATTAAAATCACAAGGAAGAAGCAGGAAGAGTGCTGCTACAATGTGAGGATTGCCATCAATGCTATAAAACAACTGCTTTGTAGGCTTTTGTTCAAAGCATAATTTTCAAAAATATTAAAGGCAAGAAAACCCTATAGAGCTGCTCCACTCTGTAACATAGGGTCATCACGAGTTGGAATCAATTCAATAGGTTTGGGGTTTTGTTCTTTACTCTGAAACATATAAAAACTTAGGAAACTGCAAATCCCTAAATCAACGTGTAGAGTTTTGCACATGCCAAGCACTTGTCAGTCATCACAGTGGTCAGTGACTTGACAAAGGTTTGCAGCTGCTGGATAACTCATGCTTGATGCACACAAGAATGTTATTAGGGGTTGCCATTAAAGTGAGGTGATCAGGAGAGGCTTCCCCGAGAATGTAACATTTGAGAAAGATTTGGTAGGAGTTGAGGGAGTGAACTACATGGACATCTGGGAACATCTGTAGCAGTAGCACAAGGAATCAACACTTTTGGAGCAGAGGAAGCCAGTGGCACTAAATACCACATGGGAAACCGAGCCATGTTTCCTCATCCCCTCTGCAGATCGACAACCAGCGCTCACGCCTGCCTGTCTCCCTAAGTGAGGGTCGCCTGCGTGTGTACCAAAGCGGAACTCGGGCTGTGGTGGAGTTGGATTTTGGTCTGGTGGTGAACTATGACTGGGACTGTCAGCTGTCCCTGAGCCTACCTGCAAAGTTCCAAGATCAGGTGTGCGGCCTGTGTGGCAACTATAATGGTGACCCCACAGATGATTTCCTCACCCCTTACTGGGAGCAAGCATCTGACCCAGTGGAGTTCGCCCAGAGCTGGAAACTAGATGATGGAGACTACTTGTGCCAGGATGGCTGTCAGGACAACTGTCCTTCCTGCACCCCAGGCCAGGTCCAGCACTATGAGGGTGACAAACTCTGTGGCATGCTGACCTTGAGCAATGGCCCGTTCGCTGCCTGCCATGCTAGCCTGAACCCTTGGCTCTTCCTGGAGGACTGTGTATATGACCTGTGTGTGGTTGGCGGGGACCGGCTCAGCCTGTGCCGAAGCCTCAGCTCCTACGCCCAGGCCTGTCTGGAGCTTGGCATCACTGTCGGGGACTGGAGGTCACTAGCCAGTTGCCGTAAGTGATAACCATGATGGGGGCTGGGAGCACATGCTGGGAGGAAAAGGACCAAGTACATATTGTGATTCAGTGTGGTGCTGGACAATACCAGGGACAGAGTAATGTCTATGACTGCCACACTGAGCCGACGTTGGGGCACACATCACTAGACAGTGACAAGCCAGAGGGGTCAGGACTAGGGTAAAAGGACAGGTGAGTGAGATGGGGACAGCACAAACAGAGGGATCAGGGCTGGGTGAGGGGAGCTCAGTGGGGCTATAGGAACCCAACCCACAGAAGGGAACCCACTCCCAGCTTGGGGAGTCAAGGGCATTGGTCAAGGAGACTTTTCCTAAGAGAAAGAGACATCTAAGCTGAGACCCATAGAAGGGAGGCTTAGAACCGTTAAGTGCCCTGAAGTCAACTACAATTCAAAGCAACCCTATGAACAAGAGATATAGACCTTCCCTTATCCTATACCATGCTCATCACCTCTGATATATTCAAGCCCATTGTTATAGTAACTGTGTCAATTAACCCATCTTGTTGAGGATAGCCCCACCCCTCCCCCTCAAAAAAAAGAGAGAAGGAAGAGTGTTCTAGATCAAGTAACAGTATGTGCAAAGATTTGGCATGAGAGATAGTGTGGGATCTTCCCAAGTAGAAATCTGTACAAGTTTCTTTGCTTATAATTCCTCCATGGAACCCTGCTGTTTTCTGGATAAAGTCCAAGCCCCTTAACCAAATAGCCAATTACTTAATTATTTCTTTATTCATACATTCTCTCAACAAACTGCCTGAGGCCCTATCTGGATCCGGTCCTGTGTCAGTGATGCTAAGGACACAGTGGAGACTCAAACAGGTCTGTTTCTGCCTTTGTAGGACCCCCAGAAAATGTTCAGGAGGCAGACAGAATGGAAAATAAAGAAGAGGCACCCAGCCCTGGCCCTAGGGCCTGAAACCGGGCTCCAGAGGAGGAACAGATATAGGGGTGACACTGAGGTTCAGTTTGGATTTGTCATGGTCACTGCTGTATCCTCACTCCCCAGGAATCCTTTTTTCCCTGACCCAGTTCTCCAATGTATGACACAATAAGTTAATTAATTTCCACATTCATTCTGAAGAATGTATCAGGTCTATATGAATGCCAGGCTTTGTCCTTGTTGCTAAAATCAAGCAGCAATTGAGACAGATAAGGATGCTTATGTCCTGTGGATAGGGTAGAGAATGAGGTTAGAGAGACAGAGCAGATAAACTATTAAATAGCTTTATTGAGCAAAAAGGCTGACGTCAAGATCGTATAATATGCACAGCAGTGATTGGAGAATGGCACAGGAGAAGGCAGGTTTTTTCTGTGGTATGTTGTTGTGTGTCATCAAGCTGAAACCAGCTCATAGCTGACCCTCCAGTGAGGCCTCAGAGGCAGAACTAGGGGAGATTGCTCATCCTACTCCCACAGAGCAGCTGGTGAGTTCAAACCACGCGTCTTTGGGATTGCAGCATAGTTTCCTACCACTACGCCACCAGAGCTCCCTAGGATCACTGAAAGCCTGAGCTGACTCCTTAGCACCCAACAGCAGCAGAAGAATTTGCTGACTGCTTAAATTGGTCATCCAGTGGGTGAGAGAGGGAGGCCAAGGACTTCTCTGAGACCTTTGTATTTAGCAGGATGGCAGTCCCAGGAACTGGCTGCAGAGCTCTGAAGGAGAAGTGGGATTTGGGGAGGAAGGTGCAGGTGCCCTCTCCAGAGAGGAGGTGCTCCTCATGGCCTGGGTTCCCTTTTTCCAGCCCTGTCCTGCCCAGCCAACAGCCGCTATGAGCTCTGTGGCCCCGCCTGCCCGACCACCTGCAACCCCTTGGCGGTGCCCGCCAACTGCTCAGCACTCCAGTGTGTGGAGGGCTGCGTGTGTCTCCCGGGCTTCGCGTCCAGCGGCGGTGCCTGCGTGCCCACCTCGTCCTGCGGCTGCATCTTCGAGGGCCGCCCGCTCGCGCCTGGCCAGGAAGTGTGGGCCGACGAGCTGTGCAAGAGGCGCTGCGTCTGCGATGGTGCCACCCTGCAGGTGCGCTGCAGCGACACGCAAGGCTGCCCGCCCGGCGAGCGCTGCCTCGTCCAGAACGGCCTCCTGGGTTGCTACCCGAACAGCTTTGGGAGCTGCCAAGCATCCGGGGACCCGCACTACGTGAGCTTTGACGGTCGGCGTTTTGACTTCATGGGCACCTGCACGTACCTGCTGGCAGGTTCATGTGGCCAGAATGCGGCGCTGCCCAGCTTCCAGGTGCTGGTGGAAAATGAACATCGTGGCAGCCAGACTGTGAGCTACACGCGCGCAGTGCGCGTCAAGGCCCATGGCGTGAAGGTGGAGGTGCGCAGGGAGAACAAAGGACAAGTGCTGGTGAGCAACGGGGGTATCGTGGGTAGTGGGCCAATAAGAAGTGGTAGGTGGTGTTCTCAGCAAAGCGTTAGAGTACCTGACATGGGTGGATTGGAGGAATATCAAGGAAACCACAGTGACTGGAGGAAAGAAAAGTAAAGGGAGAATGTGAGGAGACAAGGGCAGAGGTCACAACATGTAGATTTGGGGGTATGATGGGGTTCCCCCCCCTTTGTAGGGTTTATTAGAGTTCTGCTGGCCTACTAGTAAGAAACTAAACTGCAATCACAAAGGTTCAGCTCTACCAGCTGCTCTGGGGGATGACGATGGCCAGTCTCTTCCAGTGCAACTTACTGACTCTGAAAACCAGCTGGAGAGTCAGCTTTGGGTCATTCTGACTTGATGACACACAACAACATAGAGTTTATTAGTGAAGCAACAGGGTACACTTTAAGCTGTTGTTACGTACTGTTAAGTTAGAACCAACTCATCACACATGATCCTCGAGCAGGGGCACTAAATCGCACTGCAGGAGAATGACCAGCTTTCTCCCACAGAGCAGCTGGTAGATTCAAAGCAAGGAACGTTAGGCTGGCAGCACAACTCCTTATCACTAAGCCACCTTAGAATATAATTCGTCACTCAGGACAGCTTCTCAGGCATGGTCTCACTCAGGCCTCCTTCTTACACTTGGCTTCTTAGCCTTGGGTTCTGTCCTGTGATCAGGCAAGTGTTACAAAGCTCTTTTAGTTATGCCAATTTTGTGTCTCTCTCCCACCTCAGCCAGTAAGACTATGCCATGGGGTGCCAGATCTACATCAGCTCTGAATCACACCTGTCTCTGGTTCTCTGGCACATCTGCTGCTACCAGGTCTCAGTCTTTCTCAGTCTAGTCCAGGAATATCTGGTCCAAAGGACACATCTCCTTCCCTGCTTCTTCTTTTTTGATGCTATTGAGATTCCTCAGTCATGTAGGGGTTTTTTTTGTTTGTTTGTTTTTAATTTTATTATTTTTGTGTGCGTGTACCGTCAAATCAGATCTGACTGGTACAGGAGGAGATTGTCCCTCCTTCCCCGGCAGAGCATCTGGTGGATTCGAACCGTTCACCTCTGGGATTGTAGTTGCAGCTTCTTGCCACTAGGCCACCAGAGCTCCCCTAATCATGTAGGTTTTGAGAGAGTTGAGGCTTAAGCTGACATAGATGGATGGATAATATCAGATGCTATGCCAGGCAGAGGGAATGACAAATACAAAGGTCCTGTAGTGAGAGAGAGAGAGCCATGCAGTTAGGACAGCATGCAGACCAGGGTGGCTGGAATAGAGGGAGAGGTTCGCGGGCTGAAGAGCCATGAATACTCTGACCCTTTGCTCATAACTTCTATCCAGGTGGATGATGTCCTCCAGTACCTGCCCTTCCATGCAGCAGATGGGAAGGTTCAGGTGTTCCAACAAGGCAACAAGGCTGTTGTGCGCACAGACTTTGGCTTGACTGTCACCTATGACTGGAATGCCCATGTGACAGTCAAGGTGCCCAGCAGCTATGCAGAGGCCCTGTGTGGGCTCTGTGGAAATTTCAATGGGGATGTAAAGGATGACCTGGCTCTGCGGGGTGGGGGCCAGGCTACCAGTGTGCTGGCTTTTGGGAACAGCTGGCAAGAAGAAACGAGGCCTGGCTGTGGGGTAGCTGAGCCAGGTGACTGTCCCAAGCTGGACTCCATGGTAGCTGAGCAGCTGCAGAACAAGAAGGAGTGTGGGATCCTTGCTGACCCTGAGGGGCCTTTCCGGGAGTGCCACAGCAAGCTGGAACCCCAGGGTGCTGTGCGTGACTGTGTGTATGACCTCTGCCTGCTGCCAGGCCAGTCTGGGCCACTGTGCGAAGCACTGGCTGCATATGCTGCTGCATGCCAGGCTGCTGGGGCCACCGTGTATCCCTGGAGAAGTGAAGAGTTCTGTCGTGAGTATCGGGTAGAGGGTTCAACCTTATGCATATTCATTAACAGTAGTAGAATTGTTCATTTCATCTACAAACAGTTCTATGAGTTAGAGACTATGGTTATACCCATTTAAAAGATGAAGATACTGATGCTCAGAGAAGTTAAGGTACATGTTCAGGATCACAACCACTATGAGTTATGGATGGTAGGAACACATGAAATATTTGTACCAGGATTGACTGTGTACACCTGGTTGCCACATCAAAGCTGTCATTCAAAGATGAGTAACGAGAGCTCCCTTTACAAAGAATATATCTGATCTCTTCTCCTGGTCCTGACCCCACATGGCTGACTTCACTCATTGATGTCTGCTCGGCCCTTTGGGTTTGAGACCTTTGCTTCAGATGTAGACATGGGACTGCTTTTCAAACACAGTGTTATTTGTCTATAAAAGAAGTTTGCAAGGAATCCTTGCACCTGATTTTTCAAATTCATAATTTAGGCTTGAAATATGAATCATACACTCAGAAACAAGTAAGTACCATTCATGAAGAGCCTGACTACTTTTCAGCAAGAGCTCTTTAACAGTATGTACTCCCATCCCCATTTTACACTTGATACCTTTATTTTTTCATTTCAAGTGCAAACCATTGCAAAAGATGTAGTTTCTGGGAAATGGTAACATTTGCCTAATTAAATTTTTTTCTTATCATGGAAAATTTTGAACATATTCCAAAGTGTAGAGACTCAGATCATTGCCCTTCATCTATCCATTGTCCAGTTTCCACAATTACTGTCAAATAATGACAATTTAAGATAACATTGTTACTTAAGTCACTCTTCTAATTAGCCCACTAAAAACACACTACATAGTAGTGCAGACAGCTACTGTTGGTAGGTGCCATTGAGTTGACTCTGGGTCATAACAGCCCTTGGTACCAAAATAAAACTGCTTCATCCTGCACCATCCTCACAATTGCTTCAGTGTGACGTGTGCCCAGACAGGCTGACTCCTAGGTCCAAATCAGGCTGACCCAAGCCCTCCCTTTCTTGTGGGTAGACTCTGCTGTTCCTTGGCTCGTGGGCATCCCTTGGTGTTCCCTGGCTTATAGACAGTCTTCATATGGTGTCTGTCTTCTCGTGTGTGCCTCAACTGATTAGCTGATTACATTGTACTAGATTGCATTGTGCAAGGTAATTTTATCATATTACAGTACACTGCACTGTACCGCATTACGTTGACTTAAAGAACTCTGTTGGCATTAGTCCAAATAGAGTTGTATTGTTATAAAAAATGTGATGCTTCTCTGGTAATTGAAACTCATCTGTTGTCCCAAGGCAGAAAGGTGCTCAATCTCTTCTCACACAATTTACAGCCTTGGAAACGCACTGAAGGATCAGCTAGGAGTTGGTTCCAACTTGACAGCACACAACAACATATATGTCTGTAATATCCCATATCACTCAATGACATAGAAGGCATCTTGGTCAGGTTCAGGTTTAGAGGTTTTTTAAATTGGGCTGTCTGAGGAAGTTAGCTCTTATGTAGATTGTGGGGATGGGCATTTTTGGGGGGTGGGGGAGGAGGGACTCATTCTGATGGCTCCTCTCTCTGCAGCGCCCAGCTGCCCACCTCACAGCCACTATGAAGAGTGCTCCCACGGCTGCCCCCTAACCTGTGGAGACATCCCAGTACCCGGAGGCTGTGGCTCAGACTGCTATGAGGGCTGTGTTTGTGATGAGGGTTTTGCACTCAGTGGCGAGTCCTGTGTGCCCCTGGCCTCCTGTGGCTGCGTGCACCAGGGCAGCTACTACACCCCAGGCCAGACCTTCTATCCCGGTCCCAGCTGTGATTCCCTCTGTCGCTGCCAGGAGGGTGGCTTGGTTTCCTGTGAGCCTTCCTCCTGTGGCCCACATGAGGCCTGCAAGCCATCAGGGGGTGTCCTGGGCTGCATTGCAGTGGGTTCAACCACCTGCCAGGCAACAGGTGATCCCCACTACACCACCTTTGATGGCAAGCGCTACGATTTCATGGGCACCTGTGTGTACATACTGGCTCAGACCTGTGGGGCCCGACCAGGCCTGCATCAGTTTGCTGTCCTGCAGGAGAACGAGCCCTGGGGCAACGGGAAAGTCAGTGTGACCAAGGCAATCACTGTCCAGGTGGCGAACTATACCATACGGCTGCAACAGAAACAGTGGAAGGTCACGGTGAGTGAGCACAGGTGCAGGAGGGGGCACAGGCAGCTCCAGAGCCTGCAGACAGGGGACGCATTGCTTCCCAAGAACAGGAGGTGCCAGGCAGAGGTCAGAGTGAGAAAACAAGGAAGGGGGTGGCCTTCGTGCCTGGGCCTGCCCTCAAGTCTCCCTTCTCTGGTCCTGACCCTTCTCTTTCTCTGCTCCTCCACCAGAAGTTCAAATCCACCTCCTCAGCAACTTGAGATAATGGTAGACAGTCTCATCTCATAAAGATTTACAGCCTTAGGATTGACTTAATGGCAGTGGGTTTTTATCCAGTGCACATTATGTACAGGAGAGGCAGTCCATAATTGAATCCATTCTTGGAGATGTCCCAAGCTTCTGGAACAGCACCCAGCACATAAGAAGCTAAGCCAAATCTACTGCCATTGAGTATATCTCAACACATGAGAAATCCTCCATCAAGACTCCAAAGTTATCAGTCTTTGGTGGAGCAGACTGCTTCATCTTTCTTTCTAGGGAGCTGCTGGTGGCGTCAAACCACTGACCTTCAGATTAGCATCCCAGTGTTTATCCAGCATCAACACCAGGACTTCTGAATTTCCTGAAGGCCTGTTTCAACAAAAATCAACGCATCTCATCACAGTTGAATAATAACTGACTCATAGCTGACCCTCCAATGCGTTTCCAGTGCTTGCGTCACAAAGAGGAGATTTCCGTCTGTTTCCCATGGGGCCACTGGTGGATTTGAGCCACTGGAGAAGTGCTGCCTTTGGGTTAGCAGCGCAACTCCCTGCAGACTGTGCCACCAGAACTCTCCTCATAATAGTTGTCAGGTACCCTCAAATCAGAACTGATGCAAATCTGACTCTTCAGTGGGTTTTCAGTGGCAGTAAATTGCACAAGAGGAGATTGGCCATCTTACTCCTGTGGAACAACTGGTGGATCCAAACTGTGTGCCTTTGGGTTGGCAGTGCGATGCCTTTATCACTAAGTCACCAGAGTGCCTTTCATTATAGCAGTGACAATAAATAAAAATTTTCAACTGTAGCTAATCCTAGAGTTATTCTGTGTGAGGCACTTTCCTCAGAGCTTCACAGATATGTGTGCAATCCTGCCAACAACTCAATAGGGTAGGAACCATTATCCTTGTCCTGAGAGTTCAGAAAAAGAACCCAGAGAGGTAGTGAGCTGCCCACAATCACAGAGATAGTAAGGGCAAAGGTACATCTGGACCCAGGCAGGTGACATCAGGGTCAACCACCACATTATTAACCATCACATTGGTCTGTAGGACCTAAAGACCTCTGGTGGCCTACAGGGTAAGGAGTTGTGCTGCTAACACAAAGAAAGGCAAGTGGTTCAAAACCAACAGGTGGTCTGTGGGAGAAAGATGAGCAACCTCTTCTTGCACAATTTACAGCCTCTGAAAACTCAGTGGGAGATCAGCTGTTGGTTGGTTCCAACTCAGGGGCACCTAACAGCAGCAACATTGGACTTGAATGTGCAAAAAAGGACTGCCCATCGAATTGTTTTCTCATTAAGACCCATTTTACATATAGGGAAACTGAGCCCTGGAGAGATGAGATCTCACAGATCTTTGGTGTTAGACAGGAACTTGAAAGAGGCACTCTGTCCCACTCAAGTTGCCCCTCTGAAGTGTGGCCTCTTGCTCCTCTCAGGTGAACGGCGTGGACATGAAGCTGCCAGTGGTGCTGGATGAAGGCCAGGTCCGGGTCTCCCAGCATGGCTCCAATGTGGTGGTTGAGACCCACTTTGGCCTGCGTGTGAGCTACGACCTCATGTACGCTGTGAGGGTCAACGTCCCTGGCAACTACTACAAGCAGCTGTGTGGTCTGTGCGGCAACTACAATGGAAACCCTAGCGATGACTTCCAGAAGCCTGACGGCTCACAGGCGAGCAAGCCAGGCGACTTCGGCAACTCATGGGAGGAGAAGGTGCCTGGCTCTCCCTGTGTGCCTCCTGAGTGCCTACCAGGCGAGGACTGTGACTCCAGCCTCGAGTGTGAACCTGACTTGGAGAATAAGTACGAGCAAGAGCAGTTCTGTGGGCTCCTGGCCAGTCCTACTGGGCCGCTGGCCGCCTGTCACAAGCTGCTGGACCCCAAGGGCCCCCTCCAGGACTGTGTCTTTGATCTCTGCCTGGGTGGTGGGAACCTGAGCATCCTTTGCAGCAATATCCAAGCCTATGTGAGTGCCTGTCAGGCAGCTGGGGGCCACGTGGAGCCCTGGAGGACAGAGACTTTCTGTCGTGAGTGATGAGTGGAGGGGACAGGGAGACTGAGGGGGCAACTGAAGAACAGAGAGGAGGGGGGACTGAGGGGCAGAGAGGAGGGGGGACTAAGGGACAGTGGGGGACTAAGGGACAGAGAAGAGAGGGACTGAAGGACAGAGAGGGGAGCTGAGGAGCAGAGAGGAGGGGGTACTGAGGGACAGGGGAGGCAAGGGGCAGAGAGGAGAGGGACTGAAAGACAGGAGGGGTGCTGAGAGGAGGGGCAACTGAAAGACAGGAGGGGCAGTGAGGGCCAGAGGGGAGGGAGACTGAGAGGACAGGGGCTGAGGGGCAGGGACGAGGGGAGACTGAGAGGCAGAGGAGAGGGGAGAGTGAGTGAGATTAGGCACAGAACTGTCAGATCCTCCCCTGCTCCTTGGGGCTCTAATAGGCACCCCTTTTTCACAGCGATGGCGTGCCCCCCCAACAGCCACTATGAGCTCTGTGCGGACACCTGCTCCCTGGGATGCTCGGCCCTCAGCGCCCCCCCTCAGTGTCCTGACTGGTGCGCTGAGGGCTGCCAGTGCAACTCCGGCTTCCTGTCTGATGGCCAGGCCTGTGTGCCCATCCAGACTTGTGGCTGCTACCACAATGGCGCCTATTATGACGTAGGAGTCTGGACCCCTCCCCTCTGCCTCTCAGCTATTTGGTCTGTCCCCTTGGCTTCCCAGACCTGACTCCCAACCCATCCTTCTCTTGTTTTCATAAATCCCCCAACCCCACCCAGCTCTAGCATGTCTTCATCTACCTGGATCCCTCTCAACCCCTAGTCTTGGTCTCTCTATTCCAACCTCCACAGGGAAAAAGACCTTTCTAAATATGACCAAGAGCATTAAAACCGTGGCTGACTCCCAGGTCAAGTTTTGGTCTCATAGCCCAGGTCTGGGCAAGAATGTCACTTCCTTGGATCACTCCGATCACAAAGATGAGATCACCTGTCTCTGTTGTTCCTGGGGCCACCTCTCTCTGTTCTCCTCTTTTGTTCTCTCACAGTCAACGCTTTTCCATGTGCGCTTGTCTCTCTTGATGGCCGTGGCACTCCTCACAGCTATGCCCTCTGTCCCCACAGCCCGAGGAAACAGTACTCATTGACAACTGCCGGCAGCAGTGCGTGTGCCATGCAGGCAAAGGTCTAGTGTGCCAGGACCACAACTGCAAGCCTGACCAGGTGTGCCAGCCCGTGGAAGGTGTCCTGAGCTGCGTCACCAAAGGTGCTGGGCCTGGGACTGCTGGGAACAGAGGACAGGGCCTCTGGAATGGAGGGATGGTGTGATCTTCGTGGTGGGAGGCACAGAACACAAAGGTTGAGATCTCAGATCTGGGCTGGGTTTCCCAGAGGCAAAGACCCTCTTTTCTGGGAGGCAAAGACCTCTAGTGTGACATTCTAACTTCAGGGACCCTCAGGGGTAAGTTCCTCATGGCAAATGTCAGATACTTTTGGTGTGAGGTAGGGCAGGCAAACGTTTTCAGTAAAGGGCTTAGATAATAATGTTTTAATTTTGTTGACCAGTTCCTGTCACAATAATTCAGCTTTACCCTTATAGCATGACTACAGTCATCAACAATATGTAATGGTTGTGCTTGAATAAAACTTTACTGATAAGAAGAGGTGACCATCCTCCTCCCCCAACCCAGTACAGTTTGTTGAGCACTAGTGTGAGATATTGGGCTCAGAGCTCCAAACATCAACACAAATAGACTGGGATGTGCAGACATAGAGTTTTGAAGTCTCAGGGCAGAGGACAGGGGTTCCACCAAGTCTCAGACATTGAAGACCTTGAGTGCTCTTCGAAGCCAATGATACATTATTTCTAGGAGTAGGGTCTCAGACATGAGATCCCCCCACTAGACTAAATTGAGGCACAGAATTGCCTCCTAAGAGTAGTTTCTTGGGGGAAAGGCAGAGAAATCTCTAGGGCTAAAGGAATGAGAGACTAAGAGTCTCAGGCAATATGAGAGGGGCTCCCAGGGATGGAGATTTCTGCCATCAGATCTACCATTCTGGCCATTGTTGAGTTGCTTCCAACTCATATGGATCTTGGGTAGAACTGTGCTCATTGGGTTTTCAACAGCTGGGGCTAGTTATTTTGTTTTATGAAGTACATCACTGAGCATCTTTTCCAAGAAGCCTCTGCATAGACTTGGACTTCCAGCATGTTTAGTTAGCAGCTGAGTGGGTTAACCACTTGCACCAGCCAGGGACTACACAGCTTAAACAGGGTCAAGTTTAATATGAAGAATTATTTGCTCATAACAATAAAAATGTTCTACTACTTAAGAACAATGTGTTAGGCTGCTCATTGAAAGGTCAGTGGTCCAAGTAGAAAGATGAGACAGTCTCCTCCCATAAAGACTTACTGCCTCAAGAACTCAATGGAGAGTCTAGTGAGTCAGAATTGACATGAGGAGGGCAGGCAGTTTGGACGAGTTCTATTACTATTCGTTGCCATTAGAACTGATTCATAGGTGCCCCTCCAGTGGGCTGTAAATTGCATAGAAGGAGATTGTTCATCTTTTCCCCTCAGAGCTGCTGGTAGATTTGAACTCCTAGCCTTTGGGTTGACAGCACAACTCCCTCTCTACTAGGTGATTTACCAAGGGGTAAAAAAGAATGCAAATGAACACAGAAGAAGCAGATAAAGAGCAGTTCCTACTTCTAGGGCTATAGCAGAGCACCAAAGGAAGGTTGGTCCAGTCCAAAGGGCCACTGGATGACAGAGGAATATGTGCAAGCTAGAGCTGGACTAGAAACCTAAAGGCTGGCAGTCCAAACCTACCAGCAGCACTGTGCAAGAAAGGCCTGGCAATGACCTTCGATAATAGTTGTTGATACTGTCGAGTTGGAGCCAACTCCTACCTGACCCTCCAGCTGGTTTTCAGAGGTGGTAAATCACACAGGAGAAGACTGACCCAAGTTCCCTCCATAAAGGTTATAGTATGAAGAAATATTTTGTGGAGTAATTGTAGAGCAAATATAGAGTGCTGCTTTGTAGCGCACGGACTTGAGGCTACTGCATTTGGCTTTGGAGGTGGGAGCTAGCAGCACTCACAGTTGTGTTGCTGAAACTCATTGAGAAATAGCCTGAACGACTTGACTTGCTGAGAAACCAGCTAGGGCAAGTAGAATTTACCCCTTGGATGTCACATATGTCCCAGGCCCCCTCACACAGCAAGAGCAAGAGAGCAGGTGGCTCTTGAAGCAAATCACAGACTTCCTTCTGCAGTGTCCCTCCAACATCCTCTACTGACACAAATTAGCACTGTGGGTAGATTTGGAGCTGAGAGGTAAGGAAAGAGGAGGATGTTCAAGGTCTTCAACACAGAAATTCCAAAAGCTTGGAGGCAATAATGCTAGAGACAGGATCCTAGATATACAGTTCCTTGGGGCAAAGTCTCGGTCTCCCACCCCACTTCTCTCTGCCAAAGGCTGGAATCTTAGGCACAGCCACTCAGGGGAAAGACTCTGGTCCAGGGGGATCCTTAAGCAATGAGATTTACACAGAGACCTCAGAGTCAGGGTCTCAAACATGATCAGAGTCATGTCTCTCTTGTTGTTGTGCCTAGATCGCTGATGTTGGAATTAAAAACAAGGGGACGCTGGGGTCTGGGTCTCAGGCACAGCAAAATATATCCTCAGATAAGAGGACCCCAGAAGCTGGTTGTCCCCTGCAGTGACTATCAGAGAAGCGTTCCTGGTGTAGATGCAGGCGGTGTTGGGGATCAGCTGGACTCACGCCAGGCAGTCCCTTAAGATCTTATCTTCTCTGCCCCTAGACCCATGCCACAGCGTGACGTGTCGGCCACAGGAGATCTGCAAGGACCAGGGTGGCCTGGGCGTGTGTGTGCCCAACTATGAGGCCATGTGCTGGTTGTGGGGTGACCCACACTACCACACCTTCGATGGCTTGAACTTCGACTTCCAGGGCACCTGCAGCTACATACTGGCAACAGTCTGTCCAGGGGTTAATGCCGAGGGCCTTATACCCTTCACTGTCACCACCAAGAATGAGAACCGGGGCAACCCTTCTGTATCCTATGTGAGACTTGTCACAGTGGAGACCCTCGGCACCAACATCTCCATTCACAAAAATGAGATTGGCAAAGTGCGGGTATGTCCAGCAGAATGGCCCCCAGAAGCCCACCGTGGGGAGGATGGAAGTTCTCTGCCTTCACCTAGGTCTGAAGCAAAAGGACAACAATAATTACAGCAAACACCCCCCCCCCTTCTGTTGGGGATTCAGTTGAGTCTAGGAGCCCTGGTGGTGTAGCATGTTACATGTTGGGCTGCTAAGAGGTCAATTGTTCAAATCCATCAAATGCTCCATGGGTGAAAGGTGAGGCAGTCTCCTCCCAGAAAGATTTACAGCCTCAGGAACCTGTTATAAGGTCACTATGAGTCAAAATTGCCTCAACTGTGGTTGGTTTTGCTTTGTTGTTGTGCATAATTGAGTCAGAACTGACTTGTAGCTGGCCCTCCAGCAGGTTTTCGGAGGCTATAAGTCACACAAGAAGAGAGTGCCTATCTTTCTTCCTCACAACATCTGGTGGATTCAAATCACATACTTTTGGGTTGGAAGCACAGGCTTTTTACACTGTAGGCCAGCAGAATTCCCTTTGGTCTGCTTTAGTCTCATGCAAAGGAATTTCAGCCAAGATTTTAAAAAGAGAGGATCTGGTGGCATAGTCCATAGGGAAATGTGCTGCTGTCCCAAAGCTGTGGCTCTCTAGCAGTTCAAATGTCAGCTGCTTCATGGGAGAAAGATAGACAATCTCCTTGGAAACCTGTTGGAGGGTCAGCTATGAGTTGATTGTAACTCAATAGTCATGAATCTTAGTGAGTCTTTATAGAGACCTGGATTCTAATCAAAAATCTCCTTCATATGAGCTGTGTGGTCTTAAGGGTTTTCCTCAGTGGGCCTCGGTTTTCTCATCTGAGAAATGGGGATGGTAATAGGCTCCACCTCACAACCTGGGATGTGGTGCATGAAGGTGAGTGAAGGAATGACTGAGAATCCCAGAGACATGGATACAGAAATATTTAGATGAGAAGAGAGGACCACACTTTCCACCCAGGGAGACGAAACTGCAGGTGGCTAACAGCAGCTTAGAGGGGAGAGTAAGGTATGGAACTGGCTAGGCACACAATCAATGTTACTGAATGAGTGGATGAGTCTTGGAAGTGTTCAGAGAAAGCAGTGAGGAGAGGTGCAGAGAGAGATGCAAAAGACTCAGAAAGAGAGCTGGGCCCAGAAAAGAGAGACTTAGTGGGAGGGAGACACAGAGAAACAATGAGAGAATGACAGCTTGAGAGACAGAGTGAGCTAAGGATAAGATGCAGAGCTGTCAAGACTGAGAAACAGAGAATGATCTAGATCGAGGGAGAGATTTGGAAAAAGAGGCTGAGGAAGAGATAGACACATTCAGAGAGCTGGACCCAGATTAAGAGGGGGAGAGGCAGAGAAGAGGGATTTAGAAGCAGTAGGGCGAGTTTCTCTCCACTGCCAGGGACTGGACTAGAGCAGAGGCCTATCTTTGTCAAAGGACAAACAGTCAGTGAGTCCTCAGAAGACATTGGCCACTCCTGCCTCACAGTATGGGGGATGACACAGGGCACCAGAGAAGAGGTCCCCTCTCTCTGGAGTGACCCCTGCTGGCTTCCCTTTTTCCCAGGTGAACAACGTGCTGACCACATTACCTGTCTCAGTGGCTGGTGGGCGACTGACAGTGACCCATGGCCCAGGGAAGGCAGTGCTGGAGACTGACTTCGGGCTGCAGGTCAGCTATGACTGGAACTGGCGAGTAGAGGTGACACTGCCTAGCAGCTACCACAGTGCAGTGTGTGGACTGTGCGGGAACATGGACAAGAACCCCAGCAACGACCAAGTCTTCCCTAATGGCACGCAGGCGCCTTCCATTCCCACCTGGGGTGGCAGCTGGCGAGTCCCTGTCTGGGACCCGCTGTGCTGGGACGAATGTCAGGGATCCTGCCCAACATGTCCTGAGGAACAGCTGGAGGAGTACAGAGGCCCAGGCTTCTGTGGGCCCCTAGCCCCTGGCTCAGGAGGTCCCTTCACCGCCTGCCACGCCCATGTGCCACCTGAAAGCTTTTTCAAGGGCTGCGTCCTGGATGTCTGCCTAGGGGGTGGGGCCCAAGACATCCTCTGCCAAGCACTGGCCGCCTATGCTGCCGCTTGCCAGGCTGCTGGGGTCACCATTGGGGACTGGCGGGAGCAGGCTGGCTGCGGTGAGTTCTGGGGGCATTATGTGTGGGACAGGAGGGGTGGAAACCTCGAGGTCTGTCAGTTTCTTTCTCTCTTCCTGTGTCTGTATGTCTGTTCCTCTTGTTTCTGTCTCCCTTTAATTCCCTTTCTCTTGTGTTTCCCTGCCTGCTCTGTCTGTTTGTCTCTTTCTTATTCTGTTTCTCCCTGTCTTTAACTGGGTGTGACTTTCTCTCTCTTCTCTGACTCTTGACATCTCCTGGGTTGGACTTTTCTCTCTCCTCTTCCTCCTCCTCCTCCTTCTTCTTTCTTCTTCTTCTTCTTCTTCTTCTTCTTCTTCTTCTTCTTCTTCTTCTTCTTCTTCTTCTTCTTCTTCTTCTTCTTCTTCTTCTTCTTCTTCTT